ATCCCACCCACCAGCGGGTGCCACGATGAGGAGATAATCAGTACTGTCACTTCACCTGTCAGTGGTCGTAATGTTGTGCCTGATCGGTGTACAAAGCATTAACAGCAGGGGAGCCAATAAGTGGCACCTGTGTTTTTGTTAAGAGCAGTGGATTTTTTCCTCCACTGAATAAATCTTCTCAAATGAAAGGTATCATATAGGTAGCCCTTATTTTAAGGCCTATTAGCCTTTTTTTTTTTTTTTACTAAAGGTTAGATAATTATGGGGGATGCTTTATTATAATAAGTCAAATAAATCTTTTTAACCAGTAGAAATGTGAATATTAGAGATAAAACCAACAAATTTATGGTGAAATATTCCTCTTGCATTCTTGCTTTTATAACTTTGAGTATTTTATTACAATAATTGCTTTAATAAATTCCTACCTCTCATCATACTGCATGGATTTAAACTATAAGTGAAACCTCATTAATCCTCGTTTTATCCCTAAATCAGGAATGTCAAACTCACCAATAACAGTTGTTTCCATTTGTGGAAAAATATATTAATAAAACTACAGATTAAACTGTTAAAATATAAATACATAAGTGTTTATCCATTTTCTTAAAGCTAAATAACATTGAACATTTTTCACATTAATATAATTTGGCAGAATGTAGATAAAAAATGTTGCTATGCAGCGGATCGGAGCTTTTGACAATTTTTTTTTTACCACTGCAATTTTGGTATGTTGTAGAAATATAATGACAAATAAAAATATTATGTCTTAAAAAACTGATTTGATTGATAACATTTATGTGTCTCTCTAGAGTCTAGAGGGCTACATAAAAAGTTAGGGTGGGCCGGATTTGGCCCTCTGGCCTTCAGTTTGTCTATAGTAAAAAATGACTCTAATTTCAACTCAGTTTAACATGACAATGTTGCGTAATTTTAATTTAAATTATCAACTTAGCCTTCAGCTACCATCAAGTTTTAATCAGTGTATGACCAGAAAGAAAGCTGAAATATTCACAGTATCTATGAAGCGTAGATAAAATAAATAATTTCCCAGTACGGATTTCATCTTTTACTCACTTTGTGTCTGTTTCTGAACCTCCACAGGTCCTGGACAACATCCAGAGCGCCGTGCTCCGCTACGACATCTGCCACCCAGTGGTCAACGACGACGAGGCGACTCTCTGGCACGAACTGGAGGTCTCCTGCTGGCCCACACTGGTCCTGCTGGGGCCACACGGCAACTTGCTCTTCTCCCTGGTGGGCGAAGGCCACAGCGAGCGCCTGACTCTTTTCGCAGACGGTGCGCTCCGGTATTATCGGGAACAGGGCCAACTGAAGACGCACTCGGTGGGGATCAAGCTGTACAGGGACTCGTTGCCTTCCAGCATCCTTTCCTTTCCCGGGAAGGTGGCGGTGGATCAGCGCAACAAGAAGCTGGCGATAGCTGATACGGGTCATCACAGAATCCTGGTGGTTTCTTCCACCACTGGAGAGCAGCTACATGTTGTAGGAGGTACGCAGTCTCAGTTTTGCGCCGTTAAAACCAGAAGCTTTAATTTATTTTAATGGGATTTTATGTGTAGAGCATAATTGTGAACTGAAATGATCCATTTTTTTAAATTTTTTTTTTTACAAATATCTGAAAAGTTGGACCCTAAATGGAAGCATATTAATGCATAAAAATGACCTAGTCAAAGACCAGATTCTAATCTATTTGAGATTCCCAGGAAAGGCTTGACAATTTCTCATCATCCAGCCGAGTGATCTGGAGCTATTTTGCAGAGGAAAAATTGCCAAAAATTTCAATCTTTATGTGCAAAACAGTAGAGAGATCCGAAAGTAGAGGTACAGATGAATGCACATGTGCAGTAAAGTCAGCATATATAGAAATACTGGTAAATTTCTGATGCTGTAGCAAAAATTTGACAGATAATGAGCAATAATTGAGAATATTTTAGCGATGGGGAGGTGGGGCTTCTGCCTCAGTGCCTCTCAATGGAACCACATGGTAGACTGTGCTGGCCTCAGATGAGCAGAACGGTTGGCAGCAGTGGAGACGAGAACATGCTGCCATTTTGGCACTGACCTAAGTGTGAACAACCGAGAAAAGAAAGTAGAGGACGGAGTTTATTTTTGTGTTGATTTACCTCGTCTTTGTGGAGAGATTTAGAATAAACTGCCACCTGCTAATTAGCAATGTAGTAATTACGTCCACAAGTTTTGCACAACCCCTTATTTTTATGTTGCAACCTTAAATGTCAACGGGTTTTGAAAAAGATCACCTCTTTGTTGTGCATAATTGTAAGATGAAAATCATACATGGTTCAACCAGTTTCTGGGATTTTTAATTTTTATAAAAAAAAAAAAAAGCAGTCACTATGTCCTCCTCTGACAGCTCCTCCACCTCCTCCTAAAAACAACAAATCAGAGCCAAGATGAAGGTCTTTGTGCTGTCAGTAAACTTGTGTATGTGCTGCTCAGCACAACTTACTGTCCCAGGAAAACTTTATCCGCTGTCATCAGAGGCTATGCTAACTAGCATGAGTATTCATGACAGCGTCTGCTGACGGAGAAAAGCTGTAGTTGCAGAGAGCAAGTGGGAGACTTTGAGAGGCGCGTACATGAGAATGATTGACAGTGCCAAGACTCTCCTCCTGGCTCTGATTGGTTGTTTTTGACTGAGATGTGTATTTCTGTGGTTAGCACTGGGATTAGGAACATGAATTTGACTTTTTTTCACAGATTATCAGTCTCGTGCTGTAGGTTCATGATATAGTGACAGTTTTAACAAATATGTATGCGCTATTTTTTAATAAAAGTTGCATTTCCCCGTTTTAAGGAGAAGTCATTCTCTGAATTAACTGTGGCTCTTCTGCTACAGGACCTGAAAGAGGCAGACAAGATGGCGACCTGTCCGAAGCTTCCTTCAACTCCCCACAGGGCGTCGCCATCAAAGGAGACATTGTGTATGTGGCCGACACTGAAAACCACCTGATTCGAAAGGTAGCACCCGTCTCCATCTCCATCCTTGGAAAGCTGTTTGTGATGATGTTTGCATGGAAACTTTTGCTTTTCTGCTTTCTTTTGTAGGTTGACCTGGTGCAGGGACGAGTCAGCACTCTCGCTGGCGTAGGGACACAGGGGACAGACAAAGAGGGCGGGGCTATGGGACCCCAGCAGCCAATCAGCTCTCCGTGGGATGTGACGCTTGGGACTGCCGGTGAGTTTTTGCCTGGAAGTTGACGGGTATGTTTTTTTTTTCTCCTTCTCTTCTTTTGACCTTTCTCTTATTGCTTGCCAGACAGATTCCCCTCTGTCCTGATTCTGTATTCCCTCCACACACTTCCCATCCATCAATTATTCCTAAATCCATTTGATCTCTCATATTGTCTAGACTTTATCAAGCCCTGTTACTTTGCAGATCAGGTTTCATGCAGATAGTTGAAGGTGAAGCGAAAAAAAAAAAATCTGTTAGCAGTTGGAAGTGACCACTTTGAGATTTATATTCTGCCTTTCAGATGGGTTCATGAAGGGCGTGTGATTCATTCATTACGTGTAGATATGAAATCAATCGTGAAGTTCTCCTTATGCCTCCATTTCTCAGCGTTGCAGATATCAGAAAGGATCAAGGAACTAGACAACTATTTTCAAATCTCCCTGTTTTTACTTTACTGTTTCTGAAGACTGTCTGGAAATGTGAAAATAGTGCATAAATAATCTATATTTATTACATTTTTGCTACACTTTTATGAGCAGAACCTTTTGGAAACTAATGTTAACCATTATGTAAATCTGAGGTGTCATTGTTTAGTTATTTAGTCTGTGATTATTTCATCCCAATTCCGCTTTGCCTCTCATTTTCAGAAAATATTTGATGTTTTGTGTTTTACCAATTGAGAAAACAAAATTTGGTGTCTTAGGACAAAGAATGGCATAAAAAACATGGAGTATTGACAAATAATAACGTGACACTTTATTTGAAGGCGTGTGCATAAGACTGGCATGACATTGACATGAATGACATAACACCATTTATGAACACGAAAGAGTCTTCATGAATGTTTATTACTGTTGTGGTGACGTGTAATTCGGTAAATAATTACATTTTTAATGCAGAGTTGCATTTAAAGTTGAATTAAAAGTGTCAACTTTTCATCAAAAATGTAATTATTTACTAAATCACACTTCATTACATCAGTCAAACATTTACAAAGACTTCTTCATGTTCATAACAGGTGTTCATGTTTGTGACAGTTACGCCAATCTCATGCACACTCTTTGAAATAAAGTGTTACCAAAAAAATATCTATTTTAGTTTAGCTAATAAGGTTCGTTAAAAGAGGAAAAGAAAAAATCTAGACATACATTTTACTTTTTATGAGAGGAACTGCATTTGGTTGAAAGTATTTGCTTTCTTAGTAATGTCAAACACTCATCCTTGGTGTCCAAATTTACAGCTTTTTTTATGTGTTTTTCTTTTTTGGTTTTGGGGTTTAATCTTATGTGTAGGCGGTGCTGAAGACAACGTGCTGTGGATAGCCATGGCAGGGACCCATCAGATCTGGGCTTTGTTCCTGGAGGATGGAAAGCTGCCCAAAGGAGGGTGAGAGACCTGGTCACCATCCCATATCCGCTAAAAAGACACTAATAACTCTATTTTAAGCACAGACAGTGCTGAGAGAAAGTATTCGGTACTTACGGTTCTCTGCTGCTTTTTGTGCTACACTTGGACAAATTCAAATCCTCAAATAAATCCAACTTGCATAATTACCAAAAAAAGCAATTTTCAAATGAGGAATTTACACAGTTTGGCCAAAAATAATCACCACCTGGACTTAACTAAGGAAATGGGTGTGGGACTCCTAATTTCACAACCACATCCTGTGTTTGTGGAAAAGATGTTGGTCTAAAAAGGGTCAAATCATTGGTTTGCATCAAGCAAAGATTGGAGAAACTGCTAAAATTGGGTTAAGAACTGTCCAACGCATTACTAAAAACTGGAAGTAACAAAAAATGGTTGCAACGCTGGATGGAAATAAGTCTTGTGAAGCTTATTGAAACAGTGACTGCTAGAAGTCCAACAAAGTTGTAGAAAGTGTGTGTTTGGTATCGACTGTTTTTGGCCACGCAATGCATTTATTTTGGGGAAACTATCCAAACCAACCTTGACAAATGCCAACGTCATTGGATTGAAATTTCATTGCATGACCTTAAGCAGGTTGTTCTTTGTTGGAATCACTCCAGTGTGGCTGAATTAGAGCAGCTATGCACAGAAGAGTGGGCCAAAATCCATCTACAAGATTTAAAAATCCTGATTTCCAGTTATTGCAAATGCTTGATGGCAGATGTCGGCAATTTAAAATTATTGTAGCCAGTCCCTAAAACTGTTGTATAACTCTCAGAATGAATTATTGAAGTAGGTAATCTTTTGAAAATGTGTTCTGTCATTTGTAATGCATCTTTTAGAGAAAGAAGCAAGAAAAAAATGGACTAAAATCGAATCTGATATGAAGAAATCAGAGATATTTATTTTTTAATGCCATACTACCCAGCCCTAGTTGCTTTTAATTTGAAACATGAAATCCATATTGTGCCATATTGGGCCTATTCAAGTTATCTTTAAATATATTTCACCTTTAAGTAAAAACAGAATAAAAAAATTGTTTACAGCTCTGTGTTATTGTAGGCAGGGAATCAATTTGTTTTTGTGTACAATTGCAACAGTGACTCCAAGGCGGGAACGTGCGTGCGATGGGCGGGCAGCGGCAGCGAGGAGAACCGGAACAACGCCTACCCTCACAAGGCGAGCTTCGCCCAGCCGTCAGGCCTGGCTCTGGCTGCAGAGGAGCCCTGGAGCTGCCTGTATGTGGCCGACAGCGAAAGCAGCTCCATCCGCAGTCTGGCCCTGAAGGACGGAGCCGTCAAGCATTTGGTTGGAGGAGAGAGGGACCCGCTGGTGGGTTCAAAACACGCAACAAATAAAGGAATAAAACAACAGCAGTGATTTAAAAAAAAAAAATTTTTTTACCATTTACTATATGGTAGATGTGTGTGATTATGTAGTAAATGGTATATTTACTTCATGGTATACCATTTAATATATTGTAATTTACTACGTAGTAAGTAAATATATTACTATATAGTAAAGATATATTAGTCTGTATAACATTCACCATTTAATAGTTACTATATAGTAAATATACCATTACAGTAAATACCATCATTGTATATAAATGGTAGTACTATTTACTGTGAAGTAAATATACTATTTACTATATGTTGAATGTTATATTGACTAATACAATTTACTATATAGCAAATGGTAAAAATGGTTTTATTTTAACAATGTTGTAGATCTGAATATTGTCAGAATTGGTTTATTTTCTTCAAATTAATTTTGAAGTCAAACAGTGAAACAGTTGTTGAAGTGAAAGTTATTTCAGTTATTTCTCCTCCTGACATTTACTTGTTAGTCAGTTGGGCCGCGCTGCTCTTGTGGTTACCGTAGCAACCAGTAACTGTCAGCTCCTCCCCCTTATTACCATAGCAACCAGTAACTGTCAGCTCCTCCCCCTTTTTACCATAGCAACCAGTAACTGTCAGCTGCTCCCTCTTTTTTTCCTGCTGCTGCCTGTAACAATTTTCTCTTTTGGTACCTGGTGTCTCTGTTATGAAATCAACAAATTGGACCTGAGGCGAACAAAGACAGTTCACACATTTAACCAAAAGAATCTATTGTAGGGTTGAAACGAGTCATAATTGTGATGAATCAATTATTGAAATAACCATCGACTAATTTAGTAATTTATTAAATGTTCACTGAAGTACTGACTCAAAAAAGGGGCAATTTGTTGAAAGAACAACATATTCAGAGCAGTGAGTAAGCCAAAGTTAAACAAATATATATATACATTTTGCATTTAAGATAAAACGACATTAAAAAAAAAATCTCATAAGCACCGTTTGCTTTTCGAATTATTAATCGGGTTAATACAGAAAATAAGTGCTCTACACTTTATTTTTTTGTTTGTTTAATTTACAGTTTAAAATGAACATGTCACATGTTGACATAATTTTTTGAACGAAAAGGGTTAGGGTTAACTTTTAATAATTTAGTATTAAGTTAAGAATAAAGATTTGAGTTTTTCAAATGTTGATGTTCGTAAGTAACTATATTTTTACCTAGTGATTCATCTTTTCCTACAAACAGTAGCAAATGCTTTTATTGCCTTTTAGGCAGCAGAATGTTTATTTTCGTATTTAAAATTATTTTTGTGTATGTATCTTTTAGTGTATTTTTAATATTTTATTAAAAAATCGGTTTAAATGAAAAATCTGCAGAATGTTCCAATGTTTTAATCCAATTAATCATCAGAATAACCAATTAATTGATAATTAAAATAATCGTTTGTTGCATCCGTAATTCATTGATCTCTTTCTTTCATTCTTGAAGGGGGTACGTTTTTACTTTATCTGTTGAAAAGTGATTTCAATAAAAGTAAAACTTTTCACACAACTTCAAAAAAACGAAAGCAAAAGAGCGTCGTCCTGATGGAAGCAGAAACATCATAAATGATAATTGTTTTTATCGGTGATATAATGGTTTGTGCCTCCAGCCTTGAAAAGCTGTAAAAGTTACACATCAATCGCAAACATTTCCAGCTTTTAAAAAAATTATTTACACCATTTTGAAGGAAGCTTTTGTAGAAATCTTTGTAAGCCGTAGGCAGTCACAAGGATTCAGGGTTGTTCCCTCCATAAATAGAAGGTATTGATTTAAAACAAAAAAGCTCACAAACAGACAAACACAGACTCGCTTGTTTTCCTGCTGAAGCAGCGCCTGAAAAAACAACTTTTGGGGTTGTAATGTTTTCCAGCAATTTAAGCTGCATTTCATTTTTGGCTTTTATGCATTGTCCCATAACAAAGAGCTCCGAAGCATAAGACAATTTACTGAGGATTCTGTACACTTGAAATATTACCCGAACTCACAGTAACTTGAGTGAGTTCTCTTGAACTCAAGAACTATAACTTTTATTGACATTTGTACAGAGATGTGAGCTTTAAAGTCACTTTTTATAAAATTTAAGACCTTGAGAGGCAGAGAGGCAGTTTCATGTCTCGATTATTGAACCCACCTAATGAGGAAATATAATTAATCTTACTGATCAGAAATCACTGATTGACTGGAAGTTGATCAGCGTCCTTCAGTCTGTCTATCTATCCATCCATCCATCCATCCATCCATCCATCCATCCATCCATCCATCCA